TAATTCAATGTAGAACCGCCACTGACGCACTGAACAGAAGCAAAACCAACACTCAGGATAAATCTATGCTTCTTGCCAAAACTAACAAATGGCCCTCACAGCCAAACTACTGGAGAAACAGTGAGTAGGTTCAAGGTTCAAAGATTTTATTGTCAATTCACCATATGTGCAGAACACACAGAAATCGAGATACTGTTTCTCTCTCATCTAGTTTTGGGTGCCATAACATTTAGGAACTAAAATAGAATAAAGTAGAATAAAAATAGGATAGAATACAATAGAATAAGAACATATGTGGCTGATTTACAATCTTCTTACTTGCACTACTGTCACTGTTTGCACATGGCTTTGAGTTTCATCATAGTCTATTAGGTTGTACCATTTAGTTTATCCTATTACTTGAATTTGGTTTTAATATTCTATTTACTCTGTGTTTATTCTACTTTTTATTCTATTTTAGTTTGCATGTTCAACATTAGGTGAGAAAGAAACACTGTTTCGATGTGTCTGTGTGTCCTGCACATAAAGTGAATTGACAATAAAAATCTTTGATCTTTGATCTTGAAAACAGATGAACAAGTCGAGACAGCATTTACTTTTAGCAAAAATGAAACACAGGTGGTTAAAATAGAAATAGGCTACTATTGTGAATCTACCTGTAAAATTAAAAGTCTGATTTACGGTACAAGTAACGGACTTCCGTAACCTCCACTGATTATGCAAGTCCAATACAGCTGCAGTTTAGGATTTGTCACGCCTACATGAAGTCGCGTGGGCGGCGACATGTACATCAGGTTTTTGCTGACTTCTCCGTCACTGCTTGCTGTGAGATGGTCAGTTCTGACAGTGAAATGAGCTGGTCGGATATTTTCAGTCACCCGTTGTGGCCGTTTTGTACGGCCCTGCTGGCGCTGGTGGTGCACCTGCAGCGGAGAGTGCGCTGGAACCCAAAAGCCTGCACCGTGAGCCTGAAAGGGAAGACTGCTTTAGTGACCGGAGCCAACACAGGTTGGTTGAATTTGACCTGGTCTTATAATAGGTTAATAATACAGGGATACATGAATACGTTTTTTACAGTGTGAATACTTTTAAATGACGTTTTGACATGTGGGATTTACTAGGTCACCATCTGTAAAACAATTACGCACTTTGAGATTTGCAGGAAAGCAATAATACCCTGCCAATAACTGAGCAAGGGTGGTGTCCTTATCAGTAGGAGGGGTGCCACAGTCTTTAGTTGTGACGTTATGTAATTTTTTTTTTTTTTATGTTATGTGACGAATCATTAATTTTGCTTATTTGTCTAACTACTGGCAGTGCACTTAATTTGTGTGGTGACGTCAAGTATGTCATCTATAGATATTTGCTTGTCACAGTGACACCTTATGAGAGATTGTGTTTGCTTGTCACTTCTTGTTTGACTGGACATACTGTATCTGTATGACAGATGAAGTCACTTCATGTCACCTTAATTACGTTCACTGACATGTTTATGATGTCTGCATGGGCTGAAGTGTACCATTAATTAGAGACATATTTCAAGAAGGTATTGTTTTCTCATTACTAATGTCAGTGTTGTAACCTAGCCTTGAAACTGAAGGACTTAGCATGATTTGCATTTGCCATGTGAAGTCTTTTTTTTAAGTAACTTATTGACCAATGAAATAATAGTTTATTCCTAAGTAGGTCATGTTTATGATTTTTTCCCCCCAATAAGTCTTTAACTTTGCAACAGACGGTTTATACATTGAGTGGTTAGACTGGATGTACAGGTTTTAAGTCTAGTTAGTGTACTGTCGCATCCAGTTAATGCCCTTTTAACTTTAATCAGTCTGATTGTTAACTTTAAAGACAGACTCCTTTTTTGGTAGTACTTCTTGTATAATGACTTTGTCAGGTTTAAATAGTTCATTATAGCACCATGTCATACATATGAAGTTTAAAGTGCTTTAAAAGTTAATTTAAAAATGCACATAAGGAAGATGGGCAAAGCAGAAACACTAAAACAGCAAGAAATCAAAATACATGTATAGTAGCAATAGGGATTAAGATATAAATAAATTATTTTATGTGAGTAAAAATGCCATGTCTTGTGGACTGCAAAGTCTGCAGGGTGTGTAAACTTGTAGCATGTAGAGCCAGGACATTAAAAGCGCTACACACAAGGAGCAACAGTGTTGGGAAGGTAACTTTTGAAATGTAATAGGTTACAGATTACTAGTTACCCTGTTTAAAATGTAATAAGTAGTGTTACTATTTTCATTAAAAGTAATGTAACTTATTACTTTTGATTATTTTTCTAAAAAATGTTTTAAACTGCAGTAAAGCTGAAACATAAATTTAAAACAGGCAGTGTAAACCTCACAACAGTACTCAACATTGATTACTATCAAACATATATTAAAGGTTATTCAACATAACTTCAGTTACATAATATTTTACTGTTGAAAAGCGTAACTTACTGAGCAAGGAAAATACTGTTGAATTTCCAGCAATGAAAAGTGCTTTTGTCCGACAACATGGCCACCCGCATTGGCGTTGCTGGCGGGCCACAGCCAGGCAGCTTAGGGCAACAGTAATAATTAACTGGCTCCATTATATTTTAGGCAGGAAACTTTTTGATTGTACTCAAGCTTTTAAGCTGAACTACGCAGCTTGAAAGGAAGTATGAGTCAACGTTGACTCAGAATGGCCAAGGCAGTAGCCTCAGCATGTAATTACAGGCAAAACAGACCACTACATGAGATAATATCACACAAAATTTAATTAGCTCACTGGTATTAACCTGAAATTCTAACCTGATCCCAAACAGCATTACTCTCATGAACTACACTATACATATCATCCATCCATTATCTATACCACTTATTCCTGAATAGGGTCGCGGGGGGCTGGAACCAATCCCACCTGACATTGGGTGAGAAGCAGGGTACACCCTGGACAGGTTGCCAGTCTGTCACAGGGCTGACACTTAGAGACAGACAACCACACTCACTCCTACGGTCAATTAAGACTCACCAATCACGCTGATAACAGATGGGATGCTATAATGACCCCCAACAGTAGGATATTAATGTCAACATAGCTCAGTCTCCAGAGACATAATTTCTGATTGTTTGCTTATTGAGAATAAAACGCAGTCAGGGATTTTAAAGTTAACATAAATGGCAACATCACCTCCTGTTGTAGGTTATTCTGATCAGTCATGTGACTGCCACTAACCAATATCTTTTGAGCCATCAGAACTTTTAAAAGACACACCTTGTCAGGTTTGCTCGGCTGCACCTTCCTCTCTTCCTTTTCTCACTCTAGTTTTGCTTCCTTACCCTGATCACACTATCTGACACACCTGTCCTATTTCCCCTAATCATCACCAGCTGCACCTTATTAGTTTCCTCCCTACTTATACCCTGCTCACCGTTCACTCCCTTGCCAGTTCAATCACTATTTTCAGGCCCTTTTGCTCGCTGTTTCTTCTAGTTTGCCAGTTATATCATCTTTTGATCTATTACGTTTTACCCCTTGCTCCTGCGTTCTTTTTGTCTTCGACTATGGATCTCTCCTCTGGACCCTGGGACTACTCAACCCTACCAGTCTCCACCATACAGGTCGATGCACAGTCTCCATTAACTATCTATGCATGCTCCTGTGTCCTCAGCCATCATCGCTTCAACCACGACCAGCTCAGGAGTGACCCCAGCATCCGCAGTCTGATCCATAAACATCCATCTCACCAGTGACTGTTTTTCTCTGCCTCAGATCGACACCCGGTTATTCCTTATCATTCAGCACCTATCTGTTTATTGCACTTTGACTTACACTGTAAATAAATCTGTCACTACTTGCACCAAAGCCAGCTACCTGAGTCCGTCTTTATTGCTCGTTCATTTCCGTGTCCGAGCTACCTTAACACACCATCTAAGTGAACCTGAAGAAGCTGCAATGCGAAACACGTTGCTTGCAAACTTATAGTTATGTGCAATGATTAAATAAAGAAGATCCTATCTAGACATCCCTGGTGTGTGTTGGACTGTTGGTCGTTTGGTTTTTTGTTTCTTTTTGTTTCATTATTATTGTCTTATGATGTTGTTATAATCAACATGCCTGCATACAGTTACTCATCTACAGTACACATCCAGCAAACACAGATGACCAGGTGGGTTCAGTGGGCTCCCAGGAATAGATATACACCATATACACTAGTGTGCATGACATTCACAGTTCAGGTATGGCTATGGATAAAGGCAAACATGAAGCCTTAACATGGGGAGCTGAAATAGATCCTAGTTTGTAAAATCTTTCTGATTTTATTGTAACATGTTCAGTTCATATGTCAGCATTTGCATTTAATGTATGTGTATTGTTCCAATTTCAAAAAGTGACCTGTTGATTGATATTCACTATATGCACCTTTTTGTTATCAAGTAGTGCAAACTCCTTTTATCTACATCTATCCCACCCATTCTATTTCTATCCCACTCTGCTAGGGATTGGGAAGTTCATTGCCTTGGACTTTGCACATCGTGGGGCCCGTGTTATTCTGGCCTGTCGCAGTGAGTCCCGGGGGGCAGCAGCAGTTAAAGAAATCAGGGAAAAAACTGGGAACTCTGATGTCCACCTGCGTCTAGTGGACCTGTCTTCTCTGGACTCTGTCAGGGACTTTGCTAAGGGTGTTCTTGAAGAGGAGAAAGCTCTCCACATCCTTGTCAACAATGCTGGAGCATCAGGTGACATATGCACCCATAACCAGCAGAAACTGAACGATTTGTTTTAAAGCTACAGTACAAACAGTTACTGCTGTATATACTAAACTGTAATTTGAACAAAAAAGTCTTGCTTGACATGCGATAGCAAATCAGTGACAGCATTAAGAAAGAATGAAAATACATTAAACACCACAAAGAGAACATTCTGTCAGAATTCCTCCCTTCACATCTGAAAACAAAGAACAAGATGTGTCTTTACTGTTTCTGAGCCTCTAACCAAAAAAGAAAGAGTTGGGCTTAATTCAACAGAGACTCAACTCGAAAATGCCACGTAACCTGCAGTATGATGCATCATATGAAAATAAACAAAGGCCGTCTTGTTGACTAAAACCAACTGGTATGGTTAAATATACTCACAGGCAACAACGCAGCCCAAGCCCCCTGTCTGCTTGCATTGAGTAAGATGGCAGTCAGTCTTATAGTTTTATCTCTGTTCAGCCACACTAGTTACCGTGGCTGGGTTTGTTTCCCAGATCTGACAAAACTTTCTCCAGAGGAACATGATATACAAACTGGCTGAGAAGTGCTGTCCATGCTGATCTTTATGTTCGTGGAATTCCTTTTAAGGTTAGGGCGTGTCCCCAGGGACTGAATAATCCATTGTCCCCCAGTTTACAACTTTGTGTGTTTGTTTAAAATGAAATATGGTTAGGGTACCAACTGGGTTTAGATCTAATGGTAAGTGAAGGTATTATGCCAGTGTAGTACTCATAGCTATAGAAGTTCAAATTGTGTTTATTTGGGCATATTGATATGTACTTTTGTTTATATAATCTCATTTGCAAAATATAACTGCAAATCACACATTTATAACCATTCTACCATTAGGTTTACCCAGACAGATCACCAAAGATGGGTTTGATGTTTCTTTTGCCACCAACCATCTGGGGCCGTTCCTTCTCACGAGCTTGCTGCTGGGTAAGACTATGGTAAACTGCAGCTATGAAAGGATGGTTGCGCAATTTTCTGGCACTGTCATGACATACCAGCTTTTAGTCTTTCATTCTCTATCTCTTTTTCCTGTCCTCACTCCACATTTCTTTGTTTTGTTCCAGAGCTGATGAAGCGTTCTGCTCCAGCACGTATCGTCACCGTCAGCTCAGCCAACCATAAGAATGGTCAAATGGACTTCAAACATTTTCATGGGGAGAACCTCACGTATTACTTTGATAAAGTCTACAACAACACTAAGCTGCACAATATCATCTGTACAAATGAGTTTGCACGCAGGCTACAGGGGACAGGTAGGCAAAAGTCATGCTTATTTTGATTGTCCCTCATCACTCTAACTATTGCATGCTCTTTCCTACTTAATAAATGCTGCAGAATCCATACAGCAAGGCAAATGAGAAGCAATGGCAACAAATGGTTCAAGTTTCTCTTTGGAGAATAACTGCCAGTAACCGAAGAGGAGAATTTCAGCCATTACAGTTTAGTATTAAAAAAGTACTCCACTGGTTTAGCATCACATTCCTAAAATAGTCAGACTCAAAGAAATTAAATTGATGCCACGGAACCAGAGATATTGTGTTTCTCTATTGTCATTGTTTGTGATTTTTCACTCATTAATACCGACCAGCATCACATTTAGACTCTGGCAGGGGTGGCCAATCAGATTCTGGAGGTGGCCACCCCTGGATCATCTACCATTATCATCATAACTCTACTCCTGTCATGTCTTTGCTTACTGTCTGTAATTTGTTTTGTCAGCTAGAGTTGCCAAGAGCAAGTTTGTTTATGCATCTCTGTGCTTGACAGCAATTTTGTCGTGTCCTTTGAACATGTAGTCTATTTCTCTTTGTGTTCTGAATGTGACGTGTGTTTATGTACATGTAGGTGTCGCTGCAAACTCTGTCCACCCTGGTTTTGTCATGACAGAGGTGATGAGACACTATCCACTTGTGTTTCGTTGGATTTTCAACATCATTGGAGTTTTCTTTTTAAAGGTGAGTAGCCTACACTGTTGCAATTTATTGTAGACTCACTCTCCACATAGTTTTTCTATTGTTATGTAACTTGCTTTGCAACATTCCAGTCTGAATGTGGTTGGTTGCTGTCCAGATTCCTTCTGCCTTGTATTAATGCACTCTTACCCATCTTGCTCAGTTTACAGTGCAAGATGGGTGTACCTGTTTGTTTTGACTGCTTGAGACCAGTGTGTCTGACACATGCAATACGGGTTGGCGAGAAGATTCTAATGATCCATGATGTTATTGTTATTGCCTTTTAATATGTTATTTCTGTAGAGAATTGTTTTAAGGCTGGAGAAGTTACTATGTCTGCATGATTACACAAACTTCCTGCTTGCATATTTGCACCTACAGAGATATATTTATCTGCAATTTTTCTTAACTGTACATTTCATCTCCACCATCCTTGTCTCTCGGTCAGTCTCCAGAACAGGGTGCAGTCAGTTCGATCTACTGTGCAGTAGCAGAAGAAATAGAAGGAATAACTGGGAAGTATTTTGACAGCGACTGCTCCCTGGCTCTCCCTGCTCCTTTAGCTCGAGATGCTGCCCTCGCAGTCAAGGACTTTGAGGTCTGTGAGAGACTGACATTGAAGGTAGGCTTTTCCTAGTTTCCGGGTTGCGAGCGAGAGCAGACGTGTCTATTGCTTCTCTGTCTGTTCTACGATATTTTCACTTCTGTCCTTTTCATATAGTCAAGGCTTTGAGCTCTGAGCAAGAACTCTACAACTA